GCAAAGCAAAGTGGTTAGCATAAAATGCAAGATATTTTCTCAATTTGAGACCAGAAACTAAGAATAATCTTTTTGCTACATTCCTTTTAAAAGGCTCTTCTTAAATATCTTGGACTATGTTTTCTCACCAAGGAATACTTTCAGAACACACAAATTCTGAAGAAAGTCAGCCTGCCAGCCCTTAGTTAAATTATGACCAGAGAGAAAGAACACAGGTTGCATCTCTCCCACCTAACAATATGAGAACTTGGGAAACAAAAAACATTAGATATTCCCAGTAAAACCTGTTTCATACAAACATATTAAATGAGTCCTAGGAATTTTAAACTGTCTATTTGGATATTATGCAGCAGAAACTTGTAAATAGATGTATAGAAAAACTCTTCTAAAAATTGGGTCAAGGAGGAAGGGGAATAAAAAATGCACACAGAAAACAGAAAACCCTGTATTATAATTTTGCCTAACATCCAACATGTGGAAGAATGTAGTGGAAATCCATTTGGTGTGGTAGTCCTTGGGAGTAGAGTGGCTTCTCCTTATCTTCCCTGAGTGGCTCACATGCTCTTTTGCTTCATAAAGCAAAACTTCATAAAGTTGAGCTTTTTCCTGCTGTCAGCAGCATCTGTTCAGAGTGTACAAATCTATTCCAGTTTACCTACAAGACTAGAGTGCTGCCATCAGCACAAAAGACTGGGGAAAAACAAATGTCATAAATACTATTCTTACCACTCTATTTTCCCTCTGCTCCAAGAGTAGCTCATCTAGGAAGAACTGCTTTTGTGAAGCCTAATTCTTTATAGTCACTGCTCCAGTTGTCAGGTATTGAGAGCAATAGCAAGATATGACAAAGACAAAAGAAAAAAAGTCTCTGAAAAGTCTATCTTCTGGTTTAGCTGTCGGCATTGCCTTGCAGACAGTGCTGGCTCCCACATCAGCCTGTGTTTCCCAGCCTCCTGTCATTGCTTCCTCCCCTTAATGCCTAACTGCTTTTGCATTTCTGTAGAGGGGGAGTTCACCCCCAGGAGGAGACTTAGTTTTGAAATATCCTGTTCTCTCCTGATTAACCTACAGAATAGTTATGCAAGAAGTCAGTAACCCTCCTTCCCAAAGAAAACGTGAGGAATGAACTTGTCTAAAAAGCAAAATGGACAAAGTTTATTCAGGAAAGCTCATTCCTCGAGTGCAGCACCCTTTGCATGAACTAAGCTGAGGAAAGTGTGAGCTAGAACCAGATGGGAGAGCAGCAGAGGTTGTTCTAGTCTTCGTCCTTATTTAAAAAAATAACAAGATAAAGGGCAAAGGTTGAGCAGACATTTGGTGCTATTGCTGCCCACAGGGGCTCCACACAGCCCTGAGAAATCCAAGCTGCTTCTGTCCCTGAGCTAGTGATGAACTCGGTCTGCATTTACTTTGCATGCTTTCTCTTCATTCTCTCCCCAGAAAGGACCAGCCCTCATGGTATCACTGAGAGGACTCCATGCTGTGTCGTGCTGAAGTAGTGCCTCAGGCTTAAGGGAAATACTGTATTTAACAGTTTAAACAACAGGAGTTGTCAACACTGTGTAGGCTGTGATTTGTTAGAGGCCAGACTAGATGATCACAGAAGGTCTTTCTAAATGTAAGCATGTATGTATATTATGTCCATGTTTGTATACATACATTTTTATATGTGCATCCATGATCCATGTAGTACATGGAGATGAGCTGCCCACCTTTCCTCTCAATTCTGAGTCTGCATGCAATGCTAGTCCATGTCTTGCCTGATGCAGCATCCATAAAATGGCAATATGCCACCCTGCTTCTCAGATTATCTCCCTTCTTTCCTTTGTTCTTATAGTTCACTTGGTAATCAGCATGCCCTACTTTCCTCATATAAGCCACTCCCAGGAACTTCTTTTTCTTCCCCAAAACTTATCACAATGTTACAAGGGACAGGGAAGGGAAAAAATGTGCTTTGCCAGATTGTTATCCAGGAGAAGTCGGAATGTGCACATGTATCATGCGGTATTTTTATACTGAGCCTCCCTTTTCTCATTAATTCCAACCACCCAGCCACAATTATGCACTTGGGGTTCTCACATGACTTATGACATGTCTAACAAGATGATACATTCATCAAGGGAGAAAACATATGCCAGATGCTTTACAAGTCAAAAGATAACTTGGGCAGGGCATAGCAAGCAATGAGAAAGCTGTGTACCAACCAGGTTAGACCAGCCTGAGAAGTCTGTCCAAACTCAAGGTAACAAAACGTACTGTCCTTTAATAACTGGATTTTGACATCAAATTTCACATCATGCTATTAAACTGAGATTATTCTCTTCTCAGCTATTAACCACAGAAGGCCAAGAAACAGTTTAGGGTGTGAACTTCTACAGTATTACGTATCTACACTGGCCACCCACAGACACTGGTCTGGAATTACATGGAAGGTATCACTGATTTCTCAGAGAGAGAAGCAGAGAAAGAGAAAAAAAAATGTGTAGAGTTGCATATATCAGGTTTTGTAACAAATTCTGCCTAACAAGCTGTAAAATCCAGCAGCAATTATCATAACAAAAAAAATGTACCTTGAATGCTTAAAGACATATGGAAAATTTCAGCTTCCCTTTAAAAATACACTTAGTAGAATAGTGTAGCATCAGTCCAAAAGTTATCTGAAAGCCCTTAAAATCCTACTAAATTCAGTGTTTTTTTCCCCGAAATCTGTATGTTTCTATTTTGTGTTTTCAAGTACAACTTCCTCTATTCTGAGCCTTCTGTGAATGAAAGCTCCAAAGGTACACCATAAAAGGCATCTCAATAAATGAAAGAAGAAAAGGAAGCCCTCCCAGAAGGGCTGCAAAGAAGCTGTGTGTTTATAGTGTCTGTTACTGGCATCATCTTTAGCAAACAAAATGGCAACACCAGGTTTATCTAACAGGAAGTCGAGAAGCTCGGCAATCTTTGCTTGCAGCTTTGTATTCTGTCCTAGTATTTCAGGTTCAAATATGTCTTAGAAATCAAAGGCAAGTCCATTCAACAGTATTTGGACACTGTATTTGCTAGAGCTGGACCCAAAGCAGTAGAGACCCGAATCCCCCAATTAGATCAAAGTGCAGGTCTCTGTGAGTGGAAAAGTAATTTTGATCAAATGCAGTTTTTCACTCAACAAATACTGTTCTTAATCTCATGGAGATCCACTTCATGGTTCAATGAGCTCCTACCTGATAACCTCCTGCCTGGCTCTTTTCTCTCCTAGTTTCCACTAAGCAGCCTTTTTTTGACAAACAGTTTGGATTCCTAAATGACTAATAATACAAAATGAGAAAAGGGAGAGATAGCTGAAAACAATCAATAGATCTGCAGTTTGAGCTTGAGATGAGAAAGCAACTGGACTGAATACTACAATAATTTCAATGGAGCCAGGATTCCTCTTCTATGCTGAAAGGCCATTTAATTGATTCATCACACTTCCAATATAACATAGGCCACAGAACATAATTCAGAAATTCTTCAGCAACAGAAAGGTGGGTTTTTTTCTTCTTATGTAAGAAAATTAAATCCAGCCCAGTACTTCTAGATGTTACCTTTGGGGGGATTAGACATAAACTAGAACTCTCATATGGATCAGTTTCAATTAATGATGGTTAGGCTGAATATGTTTAAAGACAAAGTAATCTGGCAAGGAAGAAAATAATTGTGGATGTGGAAGTAGTGAGAGGAGATTTGTGACTGGATGATCTTAGAGGTTTTTTCCAACTTAAACAATTCTATAATTTTACTCCAGTTCACAAGGCACTCCTATAATAAATTAACATTGAAAAGCAACAAAATAATACAGCTCTAAGTTTCCCAAATAATTTTCTCTTGAAGGTGAAGATCCTTTTCAGATATTTTTCATCAACAAGAACAGATAACTCCTAGTCTAGATCCTATTTTTAGAAAGGATCTCTAATTTTCAATCATCCCAATGAATGAAGTCTTTCCGCTAGAGGTTTCAGGCTAAACTCTATCAAATCTATCTAGGTCTGATTACAAGTATTTCTACACTGCTCTGATGTTTGGCTGTTGGTTTGGACTACAAATCTCATTATTTTTTATGTACATATAGATGTTAGTGAGGAGGTTACCTTGAGAGATGAACCTTTAGGACTGAAACATTTAAATGGCTTCTTGTCTTCAGATACACCATCTTCTGGTATCTTTTGACGTTTCTCAGCAGCTTCAGCCCTTCTTCTTTCAATTTCTTCCTTCATCCTCTTCTTTTCCTCCTTAAAAAATATGAATGGTTACCTTTTCTTTCAGAAACTACATCACCGTTACAGGGTTGTTGAGTCTTGCAAACCAAATTTTCTAAGAACAGACTCTCATACCAGTCAAAAAAGTTCAGTGACCAGTCCAAAATCTATAAATGCATTAGTGCTAATTCATCTCAGTATTGAAGGTGCCAGGAAGACAGCTAGTCTGCACTTCTTTAGTGTCTCCTCCCAGCGAAGTCACCAAATATATTGTCATATAGTGACACTTAAAGAGAGAAAAAAGCACATTTAGACTCAAATTCAGTTCCTTTGTATTTTCATGTATCATACTGGTACTGTTCTTCTGTCCATCTGCTCTGACATTTATTGCACCAGGGTTAATGATTCACAAGCAAAAATCGGTAGGTGCCCAAAAAAATGAAGATTAAATGATTACAATTTTGCCTTCACAGAATCACAGAATTAACCAGGTTGGAAAAGACCTCTGACTCAACACCACCTCGTCTACCAGACCATGGCACTAAGTGCCACATCCAGGCTCTTCTAAACACCTCCAGGGATGGTGACTCCACCACATCCCTGGGCAGCCCATTCCAATGTCCAATTACTCTCCCTGTAAAGAACTTCTTCCTAATATCTAACCTAAACCTCCCCTGGCAGGGGAGGCTTAAGCCTGTGCCTTCCTGTCCTAGTGCTGGTTGCCTGGGAGAGGAGACTGACCCCCATCTGGCTACAACCTCCTTTCAGGGAGTTGTAGAGAGTGAGGAGGTCTCCCCTGAGCCTCCTCTTCTCCAGGCTGAACAACCCCAGCTCCCTCAGCCTCTCCTCACAGGACTTGTGCTCCAGACCCTTCCCCAGTCTCATTGTCCTCTGGACACACTCCAGCACCTCAATATCCTTCCTGGACTGAGGGGCCCAGAATTGGACACAGTACTCAAGCTGTGGCCTCACCAGGGCCGAGTACAAGGGCAGATTCACTTCCCTGGTTCTGCTGGCCACGCTATTCCTGACACAGGCCAGGATCCATTGGCCTTCTTGGTCACCTGGGCACACTGCTGGCTCATGTTCAGCTTCCTGTCAATCCAAACTCCCAGGTCCCTTTCTGCCTGGCTACTCTCCAGTCACTTTGTTCCCAGCCTGTAGTGCTGTTTGGGGTTGTTGTGTCCAAAGTGCAGGATCTGGAAATTTGCCTTATTGAGCCCCATGCAGTTGGATTCAACCTCATCTATCCAGCCTGTCCAGGTCTCTCTGCAGAGCCCTCCTGCTTTCTAGCAGATCAACACTCCCCCCCCAGCTTGGTGCCATCTGCAAATTTGCTAATGGTGGACTCAATCCCCTCATCTAAATCATCAATAAAAATATTAAACAGAACTGGGCCCAACACTGATCCCTGGGGAACACCACTAGTGACCGGATCCCAACTGGATGCAGCCCCGTTCCTCACCACTCTCTGGGCTTGGCCCTCCAGCCAGTTCCTAACCCAGCACAGAGTGCCCCTGTCCAAGCCATGGGCTGCCAGTTTTTCCAGGAATATGCTGTGGGAGACGGTGTCCAAGGCTTTGCTGAAGTCCAGATAGACTACTTTAAAGAGATGAGTTTTACTTCACTAGCTACAAGTCAAACCAGAACCTTCAAACACCATCATTGTGATTGCTGGTTAAGGGGGGGTCTTGGCATCTATTGAGTTCTGTTGTAAAGAGCTTAATATGTTAAAGGAATTGGCACTCAGCTGTCAGGAACTATCATTATTATTCATTTACCATTTGTTTTCCAAACAACTAGGATTCCTAAATGATGCACCAGAGATTTGGAAATCCTATTTGCAGAGTCCCTTGGCAGAGGAAGTACAAGAAAACAGATGTGTTGAGTACTCAATATTTAAATAGACAGGAATATCTCCCTAATGAGATCTAGCCCATTGTAACTATATATAAAATTAGCATTCCAGTTTATCTGCAACAGATGAATTTTGACATGCGCTTTGTAATTCAGTTTATGTAATGTCAAATAGATACCCTGAACTCTGTGGCTATAACACTTCCCCCAATAATTTGCATCCCCAAGAAGATAAGAAATTTGCAACTATTGCAAATGAAATCCCGACTCATGAATACATATACTAGAGCCCTGCTTTTCCTGAGGCAGGAATAGTAAAATTTTTTTCTACCTTGCATGACTGTATGTTTTACCTCAGGTCTTCCCTAGAGCACCTATATGATGTGGTGACCTGATATCAAATACAGCATACTTGCAATTAAACCCGAAGGTTATAAAATGGGGTGATTTTAATTGCATTTGAAATCAAGGTGTCTTGCAACAGACCATCTCCTGACAGGAACTAAGAAACTAAGCAATGCCCACAATCCAGAGGACTCAGATAAAGGCTACAATTTAAAGCAAAGCCACAGCATCAATTCCCCATTCAGCAAACGCAGATCTAAGAATGAGAAATACCTGTATGTTTGGGTTCAGTCTTGCCTTCCTTGTCACACTTTCCTTCCTCACCTATAAGCCAATCTCCTGTGGCCTCATTCTGCCCTTTTCTTAAATACAGACCCATCGACCTTCAGCCCCACCAACTTCTTTTGCCTAAGTGTCTCTGCAGACAATGCCACAGAGTTATCAACTAATGCAAAGACAGTGGAAGTATGGTAGTAATCAGGCAACAAAACCCACGTCTAACACTTCATACTTTACATTTACCTCTTCTCTGACTTTTCTTTCAGCTTCCTCCTGCTTCTTCTTCTGCTCCTCTTCCTCCAGGATTTTCCGGCGCTCCTCCCTCCTTTTCTTCAGTTCATCCAGCTCTGCTGCTGCCTCCTGCTGCTTCTCCTTTAACTTCTCTAGCTCCTCACTGTCATTCTCACCTCGACGACGGCGCTGATCTTCTAGTCGCTTTAGAGCCTCTGGCTTCGATTCCTCGGCATTTGCAGTCCCTCTCAAATTGGAGCGTCTAGGAAAGAAATGAAAGGGAAGGTGATGCCCCACGTGTTTTCCCATCCTGTCCAGAGCTACCTGCTGCCATGTGCTCACCAGCAGTGTGAGAGCACGGCACTCAAAGATATTTCCTTATAAAACCTTTTGCTCCTAGCAAATTACGAGAGGCCCAAAACATTTTCATCCGGAGTTAGTAGGCTGGGGTACTACAAAGAAAACCTCTCCCATCTGCTGCCAGTGAGGAAGGAGTCTCTCATATGCTTGTGTGAACACAGGAGCTTCACCAGTCTGCCTGAGAACTTGTGCCACCTCCATTTTTAAAGAATCCAATAACTGAAGTTGAAATACTTAACATCTCTTGTAACTTCAGTAAGAGGTATCATATCTCATCAGCATCCTTATTGTAGACAGCAAACTGTTACAGTTCCACAACTCTGCTCTGCAGTTTGCTTATAAACACTTCCAAAATCATATTACACTTCATATACAAAACAAAGCAAAGGAAAGCCATAACTAACTCCTCTCTGCTATCTTTAAATTGGATAAATTTACATATAAAGACCTCACAGCAAAAATATTATGCTATGTTCTGTGTAATAAAAGATGCAGGAATCCTTTACTTTCAAAGGCAAATATTTTTTTATAAATCCTCTAGAAAAAGACAAGCATCTTTGGGGACAGAACAAATTACTTGACTCAGGGAAAATAGAAGGAAATAAGAGAGGGGAGGGAGTGTTACAGCTTCAACGGTGTTTTAAAAAAAACCTGAAAAGGTTCCTATCTCATCTACAACACCTATCACTTCAGCTCTCCCAGCACATAAGAACAGAAAGGTTCACCAGAGTTTTTGCTGATGTTTTCTAGGGAAAGTATGGCTTTTTAATAAGAAACCAGAAATTATTTGTTAACGGTAACTTTCCACAGGAGAAAAACAGAAGTTTTCCAACCAGCTGTGTTATATGAGACAGAAAGAAAGAACAGCAAAAAAACCCAAGCCTCAAACCTAAAGAATGTGCATAGGTGAATTGTATACTTTCAACAGTCAAATATCATTGCTTTGTTAAATAACTATCACACCAGTGTTTAGAGAAATGTCTGCTCCCTGAATGTGTTTAATGTTACTGCTGACAAGGAGATAGGTACCTAAGAGGTATCAGTGTGCTATTCACAAGAGACAGAAAGACAGAAAGTGAAGGTACTTAATAAAGTTTTCTAAAAAACTTCTTGTACTGTTGGTATCCAAAAAAACCTGGATATTAATGACTTCATTAATGCAACCAGAGTGTTGCAGAGTACAATATAAATCAAATATTCCAACAATAACTGTTAGAAATGACAACATGAAGAACATATATCATATAAATTTGCAATCCAGTGGATTACACCCAATCCTGGGAAGGTGCTCTTCATTCAGATAGATGCCACATCCAGATGGAGTTAACCATATAAAACAGGCTGTAGGACCAGAGCTGAATTATGTGATTTCAATATCATAGTAAAATCTACTAACAGAGTTCTCTGCCCTCACATGATCTTACTAAATTGGATGAAATTTGGTTCTAGCATGGCATGCATGATTTAGGAATTTTATCCCGAAAAAAAATATAGCAAAATAGCAAAATTCATCTGTTCAAGTTCAGTACGAAAGACTGGCATTTATTTTGCAATGTATTTACTTGGTTTTAGAAAGCCTTTTCCATGCCAGGATGTAACACCACAAAGCAAAGCTAAAGAAAAAAAGTCCCAGAGGTCTGTAAAGGTGTCTACCTCCAGCAGTCTCCTACATGATTTTCTAACCTAGAGTTAAAAGTACATAATTTATATTTCCCTAAGATCACATTATCACAATCCTTTTCTGCTACATGTCCAGTCTTGTGGTTTTTTGCATTGCAATCACTTAAACCATGAGAGTATAACCACAAGATCACCCTCCATCATGTGTCAAGTTAAAATAAATGGCCATGAATAAGGGTTTGCATCAGGTAGTGAAGCCCAATTACAGAAAGAAACTCCTGCCTTTTTAAATTAAAAACACATATGCAATTAACTAAAGTATTGCGAGAAAACGTTGGAAACTTTATGTGAAATTTCATTTAGCCCCTTGAAAAGCAAAGGGAAGAACAATATTGAAGTATGATTTTGTGTGGTTGCCCAGCCTGAAATACCTCTGATTCAGTTTGCAGAGGTACCGAGAACTCAAAATGTTCCCTGAGCCTCTACAAGGCACTAAGTATTCCTAAGGATCCAGTGTACCTAAAGCTGCACAGGGCATGAGAAATCCCTGGCTATCTTAAGGCTTTCCTGCTTCATTGCAAGCTTGTAGACTCTACAGCAAACAAACCTAGGAACCTCACTTTTTTTTTTCGTTGCCTCTTGTCTCTGAAGTCTGTGTTGCCAACCCACCAAGACCTGCAAGCTTCGGGCCCAAAAAGATGCAAGAGAACACTTCTGATGGACACAATGATCTCCCTGGCAAGGACAAATATTCAACCTTCAGAATTAAGAGAATGAAGAATGTAACACTTGCTAAGATTCTCTTAATAAAGATCCATTCTGTTCTACATCAGCACAGAAGTCCTCAGTAACTTCAGTGCAGACAGCCTCAGTGAAACTAATAGCTGCTCTCAGCTTTCATCTCATAGAAGCCAATTGCAGAATCCAGTCTTAACATTTTTGTTTGGAGACCTCAGGTGATTATTTTGGCCTCTTTACAACAGAGGACATTGACGTTTTCTAGCTTATTTTATTCTCATGCTGCTCACAGGACTGATTCTGCATAATCCAAAATACCAAACAATAAATTGGCAGTAATTCTCCTTTTTTTTTTTTTCCTCCACTTCCAAATGCTCTGTTTTCAAGGGACTCTGGGAATCTCTGTTGCCTACTGTCGATATTGCTAAATTAGCATTGAGATGCTGAGTGGAGGAAGAGTTTCGTAAGCACCTCTTTGGTGCTAAGAAGTGAAGATGATTGCCACTTTCAGACACGGAGGAGAAGGAAAGAAGTGGTTTGTGGGATCCAAAAATGACAGAAGAATGTGCAAAAACATGTTACATCATATTTAAGACTTCTGCAATCCTGTATGAGAATAGGGAGGGAGGTAGGTGAGAGGGAAGATGGGAAGGGAAAGCCATAAAATGGGGGTTTATTCTGTATTTTTCTTTAGCCTCCACTACTCTATTTTGTTCTCAAACCTCACTGCTGAGAATTAGCCAAGTTATATTCTTTCTGACTATAATTGATATGTTCATATTAAAAAAAAAACAAACCAACCAAAAAACCCCAAAGGATAGTTCCAGACAAAGCCCAGTTCTGTGGAGGCAGTTCATTAGAAAATAGGCCAAGAGCCCTAATTAATATCTAACAAACCAATAAACACTGGAGCCTCTGCTGATGTTACCAACCCAAGTCTTTTACTCAGCTGATAAAAGGTTACTCAATAGACTTATTCCCACTTCTATGAAACAGTAGAAGAAAAGCAGAAATAGAAAAATAAAGAGTGAAAACTCAAATCCACATGTTGCCTCTAATGCCCATCTCCCGCAGGAAGTAAAGCAAATGAAAACACAACAAAATTATTTTTAGAAAACCATTCTCATGCTATTGATGATGTGACCCAAGCCATGATGCAGGACAGTTTTGAGCAAGGCCAATTTCCTGCTATTCCATCTCTGTCTTTTGGCTTTAGGTCAGGGTGTCTCCAGGGTCTTTTGAACTGCATTTTATTTTGAGAAAGTTTGTTTTTCCCGGAAGAATCACAAGGGGAGATACAATAGCAAATCCCATGTGCCATGCACAGATTTCTCAAAGTGCCTGGAAAGCTTAACCTTTTCTCTGCCTGTGTCCATGTAGGAGGAAGAGAGATGCAGAAGGAGAAAAATTTAGATTTCTAACCTACTCATCCCTGGGTTTCTGCTAAAAGGAAGAACTTAATTTCTACTTCATGTGTTCCCTGGTTTTAACTGGCAGAAAGGATTCTTTTAAATAAAATATTCACTAATAATTTGTTACCTTCATTGAATTTCCCAATATAACCATAAGGCAAATATTTCCTTAAAAAGAAAAATAAAAACCAAACTCTGGCCCAGCTTATTAAAAAAAAAAAAAAAAAGAAAGAAAACATTTTCACCTAACTGAAAAAAAAACCCACTTTTCTAGAGAAGCCATTAATTCCAAGGTTTGCCTTGAAATCAAGGGAGAAGTTCTTTCAGGAGTTCCCAACTGGATTGTGCTTCTTTCTGCTATACAGAGTCTAATTAAAAACAGGTGGGTAATTGGCAATAGGTTACTAAAGTAAAGGCTGAGATCTGACCGAAAAAATTAGAGAACACAGAATCTGGGTTGTCCCACAGAATCTGTTTGGCCTCTGTGCAGATATTAGAAATAAATGAGGAAGGAAATCCACAGCAAAGTGAAAATAAGACACTTGTCTCTACTGAGGGAGCAAGGCTATTGAAATCTGCTTTCTGTACTTCATTTTGTTACTGCAACAACACGGGGGTAGTTGTTAGAAACCATATACCCAAACCAAATGAATGCCTGAGCCTCTGCTGATTTTTCCAACACAATTCCTCTACTCAGCTGCTACAAGGCTATTAAGCAGAGACCCAGAGATGGCCCCTGCTCTGCTATAACATAAGTGAGCTCAATTCTTACTTGAAACTTACCCAAAAGCATTCTCAGTAGGTTTAAGTTTTGGGGCAGCGAGTTCACGTTCTCCGTTCTGTGTCTTTTGTTCAGGAACACCCTTCTTCTGATCCCAGACACTTTTCATTTCCTCTTTGGGTGCTTTTCCTTTATCTTTGTCATCTTTTACCTGTTCAGGAGGTACCATAAATCACAGAACAAAACACAAGAAACACACAACAAAAAAGAAGTCACAATGAGACATTCTAATTAACAGCAGAGAAACACAGATTTCTTAGTATTAATGGGAACTCTCTTCAAAATGTTCATGTGCTTTATTGGCAGAAGCAATCTGTAAAGCTCTAAACTGTGATCAACCATCACTCTCCTGAGTGATCAAAGCATCTTGAATCTGTGAAAGTGTTTGTTGAAGCCATGGGACTATGCTACCTCACTAATTCATTCTGCATCTACATCCCAACTCTTTTCCCTCCCACTGCAACACCACTGACCTGTTGCCTCTTAAGATTCTGGGCTGCAAACTCTTTGGGACTAAGCTTGTGGATATATTCTTGGTACAAGGTTTAGGGCATTGGTGCAATATAAATAACATGAAACTCCACTGATTGTCAAGGTTGCTTGACAATCTTCACCCTTTTTGGTGTCATAGCACATCTTCAGTGTTGCAAGAATAATGGCCAAAACACAAAATTCTCTTTGTATAAGACTAAAACTTACTCTGACAAAAAGCACAATCCTACCAGGAGCTAGTCATGGGTAGTGTTATCAGACATAAATATTTAATCCTATGAAGAAGCAAACGCTGCAGAAAATGCTAAAGTAAAAATTCCCTTTATCCTTCCAAAGCTTTCTCCTAGAATTCGTAACAGTATTCAAGTAATTCATTAATGCATGGATTTCACTCTCCAGTATTCCTTCAGAGGTATGAGTTTGAAGTATTTATCAATACTTCAGATGACCTGATACCAGCATGCTGAGTCATGGTTAGATGCTGATAAGAGGAGAAAGTGGACTGATTTAAGTTCTTTATTCTCAGGTAGAAAGATTCTCACTCAGTTAAGACTACCAACCAAAACAGACTTTCAACAGCAGCAGATGAAACATGTACCTCCAAAACATTTATTTGCTTTCCCCAGCTCTACTATGTTGGCAGAATATTCTAGTTGGCAAGAAAGAAATACCTCCTGTGAAGAATTCAAATGGAAACCTTTAGAATATAAATACTTTTGTCCTTTGGGAACCTGGCCTGTTGCCATCCCATTTGCTAACTAGAAAGAAAAAGAATTTCTATAACAGTTCTCTTTGCAGCACAACTGCTTTTATGGTGTCCTAAGCTGCACCTTGAAATAAAAAACTGATATACACCCTCACCCTCAAATCAAATGAAATTTCTATCCTTTCTCATTGAAGAATGACTTCTGGAGTTGTAATGTCTTTACCAACAAAGAATGAGTTCAAAGTCTTCAAAGATCCTCCTAAGGCATTGAATTAGGCTGTTGCTGAGTGAAGTCCCAAAGTCAGTCTCTGACTTAACCTGAGGCCAGTTTGCTTGCTCACAGAAATTGATATGCTGGATAATACCATGGTGGCACACACTGTAAGTGGGTATGGGATTGTCAAATTACTCCAGCAAATTTGCCACCGGTGGGGGAGGTTGGACAGAACTCACAGAGGCATTTGCTCTGTCCTGGGAGCAGGCAGCAGCAGTGCAGACTTTTCCCACCCTCTCCTGCCAACAGGGTTTAGCCATGACCTGGCAGAAGCACCCTGACAGACAGGAGGGAAGTTCAGCTTCCATGACCGTGCATTCTTTGGCCATGATGCTGTAACTGCTACAAGCGAGACCTTTATTACCAGCAGCCTCAAGGAATGATTTACTGTTTTCTGGGAGCTGAGACAACCAGGGCTATTCATTGATCCTAATGAATGCCATCGGACAGTAACATCTTTTGGGTGTTCCCAAAAAGCTAAGACTGTAGCTAGTGATCATGTTCACTAAATAAATAAATAAATAAATAAAATTTCTACTGCCTGTTAGCAGTCTCCCAACCCTTCAGTCCCGGACAGCGTGATACTGAAACCGGCTGTGTTGATTGTTGCAAAATTTCTCATGCCAGGATGTCTGTGTTGGGGTTTTGAGAGCATAGGATTTCCTTGGCTGAGATTTTCATCAAGACTTTTCCAAGTCTTATTAAAAAGCCAACACTTCCAGCTGCCTGATGTATTCAGGTCCACTGGGGAGGGTCATATCTCTTACATCTTAATTGAAATCCCTGAGAAAACTAATATTAAAACAATATAGTTTGAAAATTAATAGGTTAGGAACTAGTATTTCAGAAGCCAGTAGGATTTATGATAATGTGTCTGCATTTGAGAAAACCATTAACACAGCTTGGCCTCTTTATTCAAAAAGATATTAAAACAGGATATTACAGAAACATTTCTCAGCTTTTGGGCCCAATCCTTCTCCTACTAATTTTAATGCCAAAATAGAGATTGATTAGCACAGAAGAAGGAACTGTTGCATCCTATTCCAAAGGCAGGCAACAGAAAAAGTTCTTTCCCTTGTCTCACTGCTTCCCTGAATTACAAACTAATTCAGATTCTGCTGAATTCAGTAAAAATGACTACACTGACCCAACTTGGAGCAGACGTGATATTACCTGAATTGAAACAGTTCACATGCTCTCACAAATCTTGATATCAATATAGAATATGACCAAAGGCATGTTTAGTGAATTTCCAGCTTAATGTATTTATATTTTAATCTTTCTCTACACTGCTTCTTTTCAGTTAGAGTTTTATGCTACTATTTGAGAGCTGAGATTTCTAAATCTTGAGTTTGAACACCTTCAGACTGAGGTGAATCTGTTACTGATGTTGGGGTCATCTGCTAAATTTGATTCCTTATTTCAGCTCAGTTACTTGGTGAGTTAAAAGCTGTGGGCATCTGGGTCTAGACCTTCCATGTAGAGCCAACTACTACACCCAAATACCATGGGAAAAGCAACTGTTGCAGCACAAACTGGAAGCAGGAAATACCAGGAGTCTCACATCATGAGAAAGCTTTTTCTTATGAACTTTTCAGGTCACTTTTCAAAACTGTGCAACAGTGCAGAAAATGAGACAAATTTTTTCTTGCCAATTTGATCAAAACCTGAATTTCAAGGGCCAGGTTTTGATCACACTAAGAAAGAACATGACTGCAAAAGCAAAATCTGATTATGTAGATAGACTGTATTGCTTCAGGATCTTGTTCACGGAACACTGCTGTCCTCTTAACTGCATGTATGCTCAGAAATAGATCTCATTGAATTTGTATGTCCTTGAAAGGGGGGAAGGAGTGGAAACTTTTTCTAGTGCACTGATCTTGCCTTGGTTTGGAGTCCAAATTTGTCAATTTTTCTTCACAAGCCAGGAAGCAACAATCAAGATTTTCAAAACACTTTGAATGCTCAGCATGATAGATACACTTGCAAAAGATTTACCTTTCACTGGATGGCTATTCAGCATTGCACTAAAAATGGGATTCTATTACATTGTCTCAGCTTGAGCATCCAAAGATGGAAACATTAAAATCACAAGTAATTTTTAGAAGTCTTACCAATTTCCAGGAATAATCTAGCCAGTGGGTGGGGTTTAAAAGCATGACAAGAGCTCCAGTGAGAGTTGAGCGAGCTCCACATAAACACAAGCAGGACAACTGTGTCTTGAGTTCCCCTCCAAAATCAAAGTTTGTGTTCAGTTACAGTCTCCTTTTTACATTTACTTGTAATATTCAAAGACATAAGTGAATACTGGAAGATGATTCTGTCTTTTGAACTCTTAATGTAATCCATTTCTTATTTGTTTTGTGTAGCTAAATAGGGTTAATTTAAAGAGATTGTCTACTTTTTCTAGTGCACTATTCTGAAGATCTCCATTAGGTCTCATTTAGCACTTCCCCTTACAAGAGTAATTTATTCTAGTATTGCCAATGTCTCTCCTGATTCATCAGGAACCTTTCTTCTAACCATCTCCATCACTTCATTCATCTTTTCCGTCTCATATGAAACTTACTCAAAACATACCTTAGATAATCAAGCCAGGCAACTGGACACAAAACCTTATAATGTAATTTGCCTTCCTCACTCTCTGAGGGTGAGCTAAACATCTCCAGCATGTTCTGAATTGATCCACCAGCTAAGGACTGGAGCTGACCCTCTTCAACTTCAATGCTCCCGTGCAGCTGGGTGAACAGCAAACTGCCTGTTACTAGATCTTTGGGGTGGGCCTCCCTTTAAACCCAAGTGAGTCCAAGTCTCTAAGGCCCTGACCATTCTCAATGTCTAATTAGAACTGGGGGGTACTTTAAGACCTGCTGCACTGAACCAAAACCACAGTTGCTTACACAGCACCGAACGTGGTTCCCTGTGTCCAGCTGTAACCTGAAGAGTAAATGGTCCCCAAATCTTATTTACTTACCATACAGTAAAACATCATGGCACCAGCTCCTGTGTTTACAGTAGGAATGCAATGCAGTAAATTTTGTAGCTTTGCTCTTTAAAACAAAAGAAGAATCTTGGGTATGCTGTTTATATAACAGGGTATTGCAGTTTTGGAGGAAATCATTAGTTAAGGCAGGCGGCCAAAGGCCTAGATGATTATTATTATATTATTATTGTAAGAGTAGGCTTCATTCATAGGGAAAAAGTTCACAGTAAAGTGAGAGGAAAACAAGGAAGGATAATTAGTTGATACTGTCCTGAAAAAATCATCCCTAGGGTGCAAACCATCCCTGTATAATTGACCAAACTGAGTTTCCTGAAATATTTGTTTTAAGACAAACAGGAATTGGTTCTAAAGCCCCAAAAGAACAAAATATTTAAGCATTAACTTAATTTTAAGCACTTAAGTAAGTAGTTTCATCCCTATTTATTTCAGCAGGATTACACACATTCTTGAACTGAAGCACATGCCTAAGCACTTTGCTGAAGAAGAAACTTTCGGTTATAGCTGTCTTACTTGTTTTCTTATCTCAAGTTTCCCTACCACATTTCAACCAATGTTTTATGAGTTACCTGATCTTTCCTGGAGGTAGGTTGGAGCTTCTCTTCTGGTAACTTTTCCCTTTTAGCTTCCACTCTAACCTCCTTTTCTTCCTCCTTCGTTTTTGGGTTTTCAATAACAACTTTTTTAATGCGAAAACATCACATCTCTTTGCACTTTTGTTTCTCCACTGTGCTCGTGTACCAATCCTGGGTGCAGCCACAGCTCCATCACACGCTGCTGTGCCCACATCTCCGTGTGCCACTGTGCACCCTCCACCCTCTCCAAATTCTCCACCCTCTCAACCCTCTCCCATTTCCCGCATCTGGGCCTTTCTCCCTCGTGTAGTGTCATGCTCACACGTCCAGCCCTCTCTTGTGATTGCATTTAACACACAACATTCCTCACACAGCTTTACCAGGTGCTCATAATATTTTGTGCCAAACCGTGTTTGCCTCCATCTCATGTGTGGCACCACACTAGGCAGTTTGTAGCAGCTGAGAAAAAAAGGTAGCAAAAAAACATGCAGAGGTCTGAACATGCAAGGTTTTCTTTGAGTGATAGAGTGAGGTCAGGCATGTTGTGCCCTGGATTACTGGTAAGCAGAGAGAGCTTTAATTTTAAAAAGAGAGAGTGAGAGCACAAGTATTAGTCATTTCAGTGCAGGAATAGATCTGTGAAGAAATTCCAAATCAATCTTTTTTTTCTTGCATTACATTTCTCACAAACAACAGGTGTCTTAGTTTGGTGCAAAATGTTTACTGTACCTGTTTTTTTACTGCTTGGGGTTTTTCCTCTTGCGCTTTCTTATCTTTTACCTGCTTATCCTGTATTTTCTGTTCTTCCATTTTTTGTTTTTCCTTTAATTTCTCTGCTTCTAATCTAGCCCTTTCCTCAGCTGCCCTCTTCTCTTCTTCTGCCTTAGCCCTCTCCTCAGCTGCCCTCTTTTCTTCTTCTGCCTTAGCCCTCTCCTCAGCTGCCCTCTTTTCTTCTTCTGCCTTAGCNTCCTCAGCTGCCCTCTTTTCTTCTTCTGCCTTAGCCCTCTCCTCAGCTGCCCTCTTTTCTTCTTCTGCCTTAGCCCTCTCCTCAGCTGCCCTCTTCTCTTCTTCTGCTTTAGCCCTCTCCTCAGCTGCCCTCTTCTCTTCTTCTGCCTTAGCTCTTTCCTCAGCTGCCCTCTTTTCTTCCTCTGCTTTCTGTTTTTCCTCAGCTGCCCTCTTTTCTTCCTCTGCTTTTAACCTCTCCCTTTCTTCTGCTTCCTTCCTTTCTTCCTCAGCCTTGTCCTCATCCCTAAGCTTCTCTTTATCTACTGTGTCAGTTAGACTTGGCGTCCCTTCTGGTACGACATTTGTATCATTCTCTGCTTTGTGTTCCTCTGCATTTGTAGCTAGACTTTTTGTTTCTACTCCTTCTTTATCTGTGGGTTTTTCTGCTGTCATGTCTATCTGATTTTCCTCTACAGGGACCTCCTTTGTTTTATCCTCCTGTACCTCCTCCTTGTCTTTTTCTTCTTTCTTTTGCTCTTCCCCGTCTTGCCTCCAGTTGTTCCTCTGATATGATTTGGTAACTGTTTCTGTTTCCTCAATCTCACAGTGTCCTCCGCGTGTTTCAGCCTTTTCCTCTTTCCCCGTGGTCTCGTTTTCTTCCACGTTGTTTACTTCTCTCCTGCTGGGCAGTGACAAGCTCCCATCTGTGATTGTGGGGTCAAATTCCTTCTGACGTTCCAGGGCTTCCTGTAGACGTTTTTGGCGTCTCTCCTCCCGTCTTGCCAGTCTCTCCAACAGTGCAGCTTCATCATCTGTAGAACGCTTGCTTTCCTCTCCTGCCACACTACATAAAAGTGACAGTTTTGCATTAAAAGAAAAAAGAAAAACCTTTCTAACAACATATACACTTCACTGTTTCCAGAAAAAAAAAAAAGGTTACTGTAACATCATTCCATGGTTTGAAGACACAACTTCAAACAGGCTACATACTTCAAAATTTAGCAAAGTGGTTCCGGGGATTAATTTTGGCATTTCTACATCCATAGGAATGCAATGTTTCACAATATCAGAGCCTGGAATAGTTCCCTTCCAAGACAGCTCCAAGAGCCACTGAAGTTCTAAGGAGCCTTCCTGACTTTGGTAGGCACTGGAATGGTCCCTGACACTTGTAGAGCTGCACTCTGAACAGCCCTGAAAAATTCACCCTCCCCCTCTGCATCCTGCAGCAGAATACTTGGAAGACCTTAGCTTGCTTTAGGTGCTTCCTTCAGCTTGGCCTGAGTTATATGTGCCTTATGCATAGTCTTCATCCTAGGTAGAATTTTTGAAGATCCTACACAAGCAAGATCCTTCCTGACTTCAGAGCTCCTCTAGCAAAAAGAAGTTATTCCTGTCCCACACCAGCATTCATAGACAGAGTCCCTAAAGGGATAGTCCAGCAATTAATGTGCAGTGAGGTTGTGATTGTCTATAGAGGGACAATACACTATTAGAGATCAGAGCACAGCACCTAATTTAAGATATGCTATTCAACAGCTGTAGATATCAGGAATGGACTTCACTCTCAGTCCCTGGAGATTTTCTTGACTCCTTTAAAATTCTGCTGTTTAATACTCATGTGTGCAGGTTTTTTCCCTCTTTCTAGTTTGTTCTTCTTTCCTTTCCTCTGTTGTGGAAAAAGATTATAATCTATGATCAGAAATGTTACTGTCTTCCTATCTATATCCATTCTCTTTGTCTTTAATAGAATGCTACTTCTGCTCAGTATCTATTACCTTGATATCCCAATGTTTATTTCTGGTTTCTTCTGCCAATTGTGTTATGGCCACTGGAAATCTGAGTATGTTATTTGAGACTGCGTGAAACTAAACAAGTGATGGACAGACAGGAAGGCCAGCTCTGGCCACTCAGCTTGTGAAAAGTAGGTGGTGATATGAATGATATGGTGTAGTGGTTTAGGAGTTACAGTGGTAGTGCTAAGCTGACAGTTGGACTTGATGATCTTAAAGATCTCTTCCAACCTTGATGATTTATAATTCTAAGTGTCACCTCATTCCATAAACTTTTCTGCTGTTTGTAGCTGTATGACACTGACAGTGCCAGACAAGTGCTGTGGTCTGCAGTTCACATCTAGCACCTTGCAGGCATGTTTCAGCTGCAGCTTGAGGCCTGGGTGCCCGCCAATCCCACGTGCCTTGGCCCCACAGTGCCCTGACCTCTATTAGCAGGACAAAAATGTGGTGGTTTGTGAGGCCAGATGCAGTCATGCCTGAGAGAATCTGACAGCCTACATGAGCCCCAGCTGAATCACCCCAAGGACAGCCTTGAGGACATGCTGGATATGGGTTATGAGCATGGCCTCAAGCCCAGAGTCAGTAATCCTCCCACTCTGCTGTGTAGACACAGCCAGGGGCAATCCTCACAGTGTTAGGTCCTTCTTTGGAATAAGGATGGCCAAACCGGCTACTTAAAATTTAAGTACCAAAGCAGACCTTTTCAAAACACTTCTCTGCTCTGAATAAAAATTACCACTGACTTGTCAGCAAACAACAGTAAATGCCATTTACCTGTTTTGGGCATTAACTTCTGATTTCTCCGTGACTTCTCCTGACAGATCTCCTTCTTCCTTTTGCCGCAGCCTCTCCTGTCGAGCCCGTCGGCGACGTTCTCTGGCGGCTTCTTCGTCATCGTCATCATTTCTCTGGTAGGACAGCCTGCAGTAGAGCATTAGGGATAGGGAAATGAAGTTGCTATAGCATGTAGGACACAGAAGAATTACAAAAAAGAAGTTTTCCAGAGCACAGTAAGCATGGCTACAGTGGCTGCTTAGAAAATATGTTGTGAAGTTTGAGATGCAGCATTTCAAAGATTGGTTTTCTTTTGTTTGTCAAAAGTGGACTTGACAAAATAATCATAGTAAAGGTGGCAGCCATACCACACTGTCAGTTTGCTCCTAGAAAACCCCAAGACCATAAACCCCCAGCTCTGTAGCTGAGCAAACATCCTGCTGGCTTGCACCATGATCCTGCTGGAGTGCTCACAGCAGCATTTGAGTAGGCTGTCATTCAGACCCACACAACTGAAACTGGACTTAGCCAAGCAGCTTTTCATTAGTCTCCTCCAAACCTCATGTGCTAAAAATGGTGACAATATTCTAAATTTTAAGGATATGAAATCAGGGAGACACAAGCATGACAACAGCTCTCAGTGGTTGGTTCTGAGTGCCAAACATCTGATACCCACAAAATTTTGGTGAGCCCAGAGCCCTGTCAGACCAAATCATATAAGACTGATGCGGTGATGAAAGCCTACAGCTGAGAACTCATTGTATTCATCTAACCCATCATATTTAGTTTAGTTTCATTCTACTTGAAAAGGAGAGCAAGACCTTACAATCCTAATAATCCTGTGGCCTGTTCAAATCTTTGCTGAAGTGCATTATTACTGTGTGAGATAAAGGGAGAGGTCTGCGTTCCTCTTATCTTTTTGTGCAGGGAAAGTGAAATAGGAAGTTAACGCGTGCCAGACCCAGTCAGGACATTAATTTACTTTGCTTCTAGCAGTGGTCTGATATGTCATGGTTAAGAAGTCATCCTCCTTATATAGCCACACATTCAAGTTAGCTGTACAGCCATGCACATGGAGAAAAAAATAATAGAGTTCTACATCAAGTAAAACCAAGCATTGCAAGGAATATTTTAACATTAAAAGCAACTAAAACATTTTGATTTAGCTATCAGTGAGACTCTTTGGGCCCAATCCTCTCCTCTAACCTTATTCTGATACTGCTTTTCTCCTTTGCTGAAAATAAGGCGAAAGTATAGGTTCAGCAGGAACTCAATTACCCAAATTTTGTGTTGAGATTTTAAAATGTAAAACATGGCTGAGGCCCTTGCCAGACCTAGAAAAGCATTTTCATCCTAATTGCACCACAGAATTTGATTTGCTACTTCCATGGTCTGTCTCAAGAGCTTGCAACCTTTTCTTTACAGAAACAAATCCTCTTAAGAAGCGTGAAAACCACAAGCAGCCTGGTGATGAAGGATCACAGTGTAGGGACAAGGAAGAAAGGAAGCAGACAAATTAAAAGCACTAGAGGTGATGCAGGGAAAGTAAGGAAAAACACTTCCTGCCATTTGTAAACAATTTAAATGAGGATCAACATTTCATTTAATTCTAGAACAGAAAGCACGTGTATACAATCAAAAACCAATGAGGTCTTTAATTTGCAGAAGAGAGAGACTCTCTGGAACAAAACTGCATTAGCAAACTGATGACAGACAGCCCATTCATTAACAAGATATTCTGGCTGCAGGAAGGCTATGGTCTTTTTAGCTCTGAAGTCCAAATGTAAGGGCACAGGAGAGGGCATACTGCTCTTAGCCTGTGGCAGCTGGATAATGGCCATGACTGAGTCGATTCCCACTGCCTATGGCTCAGCATTTGTCCTTGCAGTGAGACCACGTGAGGATGAAGTAGTTTATCCCACTCTCTGTACCCACACAGAACACTCCTACACAGCAAGGAGAACAACTGCTATCAAAAGCCTCTTTAAAATGTCTTTTTAAAATCACCAGTTGCTCAGCAAACTAAAAAAAAAAAAAAAAAATACCCTAGGCAAAAAATTCCCACAAAATAGTACCCGTTAAACAGATATGCATTTCCTGTCCTTGGACACTTATCACATAGATCATCTGATAAGAAAACTGACAATCTCTCTCAATCTGCTTTTAAGTATATTCACTTTTTTATGCTTTTAAGTATGTCCACAGCCTTACTGCAGTAAGTAGTGGTTACTGCTGCAAGTAGTGGTTTCCTACTAGTGAGCAAGTACACTAGGTATGGGCTCCATCCATTAGAATCACCTTAAATATGAATTTCTGTTCACCAGGATGGATGCATGCAACATGCACACAAACGTGGAAACAGTCATATGAAAAACTAATTGCAACTTTTTCAGAGATCTGTTTCATGTTTTCCTCACAATTACGTTAAAACTGCTCCCCAGATTGTACTTTCACAGGCTGTTCTGCTTCCCTCTGAGATAAAGGTTTTTCTGGAGTGGACGTGACTAGCCACAACAGACTGACAGTAGAGCAGGCTGAAAATACAGGTTCAGGCTGGCTCTGTTAATTGATGGGTTAATGACCACAGCATGGGTAAACTGAAACGATTCAGTGTAGTTACCCTGACTGCCATTGACTCTCCATGAGAAATTCAGTCATAGGAAAGATGGTGCAAGTTAGGTAAATGCCATTTCTGCTCACGAAAAATACACTCTTCCAACTAGTGTTCATCTCATCATTTACTCAATCCTCACGCACTGAGTTTGTTCACCCTAACTTGACTGGCTCTCTTTTCCTCAGCTATCAACATAGCCTAGGGTGTCAAAGTAATTTCACATAGAAATTAAACCATGGGCTGACACATGAATTCATGCATCCTCCACTGGGAATAGAAACACTGACCCTCACCCCCTCCCACTGCTACAGCTCTCCCTAGCTACCCCTCACAACCACAATCGATCTGGGAGTTCTTCAAAGCTTATCTTTCACTTGCCTACATCTTTTGACATTTTTTAGAGCAAGAGTAAACAAATAATAAAAAATGTGACTCCAAGATTTTAACTCCGTATATCAGGCAGATGGAAATCTGATGATCCATGCTGGCCTGTGATGTTTTTCCACTCCTGGAGAGCAGCCTTGCTGCCTAGCACACATGCACACACAGGGCAACTGAATTAAACTAAATTTATATCCATTTGTCACCTTCCATATAACCGTTCAAAGTCTTTGCAGGCAAGTATTTCTCTATAACTAGTTGTTCCAGCTATCTCAGGCAATGAGACCACAACACAGCATGAGCTCAAAGAGGTATGCCAAGCCTTCTGATGCACAAAAGCTATTATTAAATATTCAGATGAAAAGATGATCACTTGGAAACCATTCTACACCTTGTTATCAAAGATAACGTGATCTCAGTCTCAACTTCAAGTAATAGAGAAAAAATTGGGTGCTTCTCCTGTTATCTTTCTCTATGTTTCTGACATGAGAAAAAGCTGTGTAACCTCTGTGCATTATTGATAAGCTGTTCTAGTAAAGCTACAGTGCTGAGTCTGTCATCCTTCCCATATTGCACAACTCCTGTATGGGAGACTGAGCAGATCATCCATGTGAGAGGACAGTTCCCACCACTCTGGGTAGTGATAACAAGTAACAACAGATGTTCTGCCCTACTAAGTGGGTAGGACAAATTTATACCTCCAGGACTGAAATCCCAAACCTGCTGAAGTCAACAACAAATCTCCCAGTTGAGTGAGTCTAAAAATGTTGCCCTCAGACTGAATGGGGGAACTCTACAGCCTTGAGTGGAAAATAACTCTGCTGGATTGGGAATACAGGTGATGTGGCCATCTGCCTCAGACCTTCTCCAGAGAGATTCAGCACTCTGTATTTTACACCAAACACTGAATTTGCATGAAGCTGTAGCCCATCAAGAAACTTGGTAATAGCTAGGATGATTATGGGGCTGAAACCATTTCATACAAGCCAGCTTCAACTTGAAACCTCAAATCGGTTCAAATATTATCTAAGGCACTTTGGTTTTAGAGTTCCTTGCCCAGTACTACTACATTATTATTATTGCCTGAATTATGACAGCATTGAAATTTCCCATCAAGCTCAAGGGCTTGCTACAGCAGGCAATTTATAAAAATAGGGTAAGATCTGGTCCCTCTTCTAAACAGTTTGTATTCTGATTAAAGAGACACTTTATAATTTGTAGCCCTATCTGCCCTCAGTGAGGGCCCTCAGAGCTAAACCTGATGAATCTAAAACTTTTTTAATTTTTCACAGGAGTAGCAAAAACCTGTCTAATTTGAGCTGGATCACACAACTCCATTCAAGGAGGCAGGGAGAAAGAATTGCTGTGAATCTGAACTTGGACTCCATTTCAAGAGTGTCAGAAATATGTGAAAAAATTCCAAACAGAACAAAAGCCTTTAAGATTTTTAACTTAAAGAAACAGCTCATATCTACCTCTTATTTCCTCTATGGTTCACTCAAATCAAATGTCTATTTTCCCTTTCTCCTGCCCACAAAACCACCTTGCACTCTTAGCAGTGTCCTCACAACATGTACCTCAATTAGATGCAACTGTACCTCTTCAGCAAGCTCTTTCCCACACAACTTTGTTATCTGGAAGCCCTTACATGTATTACAGAATAGTTTTCTCTGTGGTCCACCCCAAGAAATGAGATCATTCATCCTGTACCAGATTACTGCACCTCCACTTGCAACCTAACCTACTTCTAAGACCTTCACCCTTCATCACCTATGACCACAGCAATTGAAATTATATTTGTTGACTTGCGTATTTCTAAATTTATGTCAGATGGAAGATGCCAGTAAAATGTCCTCAATGATAAATTTAATTGCCAGACTCAACCTATAAATGTGCATTTGTTTGCCTTTTGTGCTCTTAGAAAGCCTTTCTATTTACCCAGGCTCTTCCTGAAAGGATGGGTGGGGTGAGGATGGACGTTGTAATAATACCCACTGGGGAGTGCTCTTTGTGTCACTGTTGATATTCAGGCCCGTTTTATTTATTATTACATATGTCTTTAATCTTTTTATTGTTCATTTAATTTGTGTTATGATAGGCACGCTTCAAAATGTGGATATAAACAACTGATCAATCTTCACCTAAAAAAACC